TTGGCACATAATAGGTGCTAAATGAGTATTTATTGAGCTGAACTCCACAATTAAAGAGACAGAGAGAAACTATTTGGGGACGACAGTTAATTAGTCTTTCTGAGCCATATCTTCTTCATCTGGGGAATGGAATAATCACCGTTAGGATTAAATGAGGTATGTAGGTGAGGTATTTCGTACAGTGCCTGGGACACCGTTGTTCATTAGCTGGTAAGTATTACTATTTGCTGGCAACAATCCATCCATGGAAGTAATCAAACGGGAGCCTAGGGGTGAAGGATTTCAGGAAAGAAGGAAGGCTCAACAGTTCCAAGGCCCTTTGTGTATCACAGCTGGTACTCTCTTCCTCTGTCTCTGTCTCTCTTACCACACGCACACGTGAGCGTGCACACCCACGATGAGGTATGTTAAGCAAACTATAAAACTCCTCCACTGATACCCTCTAGATTTTTTCTCCTGACATAAGAGGAACTTCTTGGTAATCTAAATTTGGTCCTACAGTGGATACTAGAAATGACCTTCATGGCTGATAGCACGGTATTTAACATCAAATTGTTGCAAATTTTGACTCCAGCTAGATAATGAGCCCACTTGTATATTTTGTTTTTTATTGGATTCTCTAAGTAAAAGTGTCTACCTCACAGTTTGGCAGCTGCTGTGGGAGAGAAATGGGGTCCCCAAGAGTCCTAGAATCAGCAAGCATCACATTGTCAGGCCTATCGCAGACAGAAATCACTATTCCCTGACACAAACCCCTCTCTGTGATGAAACAAAGCCGCTATGTGGCAGGCCTTCCCAGCAGAGAATTTTCTCTCCTCTGATGAGACCTGAGGAGAGATGAGGAGACAGAACAAAGACCTGGCATCTGGAGCACAATTGTGGGAAAAGGGTCTAGCATTTTCCATGATCTGTCAGTTCTCTTTTTTTCACAGCATCTATCTCCTGGTCAGCAACTTTCTCCTCACCTTTGGGCCTGAGTGTGCACCCAAGGTCCTGGGTTTATCCCCTAGAATGAGGACTCCAAGAACCAAGCCTACTGTGAGTTGCTGTGGCCCAGCTCCCTCAGGACTCGGTTTCGCTGGAGGCCAGGCCTACTGGACCTTGCCGCCTGCCCTACTTCTGCCCTCCCTGGTTCCATCCTTGAATTTCCGAGAAAGCCCAACCTCTTAGGCTCTGCTCTCCACCCCTTACTCCCCTCCCCCCACCTACCAACCCACCCCTTTTCAGGGCATAAGGGACCTTTTCTATTTGCAGATCCTAAAGAAGCTGGTTGCCAAGGTGACAGGAGCAGGAACAGCAGGGAGCCATGGGGGAGGGGCTCTGCCCCCAAACAGCTGTCAGTGGGAGCAGTCCCAGCTGGGACTACAGCATTTGCCTGTTCTGGGAGGACACGGCCCCCAGGGGGACACATTCCTCTCCGCTATGATCCCCCACTGCCCCTCACCATAGGTCTCCACTGGTTATTCTCCCTGGGGGCAACCAGCCAGCCAGCTCGAAAATGCTCCAATAACCAACAAAACCTACCACCCACCCTTTCTCTCTCTCTCTCTCTCTCTCTCTCTCTCTCTCATACACACACACACACACACACACACACACACACACACGCATGCGCACATGCTCTGATCCCTCCGTTCCTTTGCAGTGGGTTGGCTGGGCAGGAGGCCAGAAGTTACCTCTGCCTGGGGACCCAGGACCCAGGGCAGGTGCTGCTTCAGGCTGCCCCCACCAGGTCATAGGGATTATTTCCATCTTGTTTTTTGTTCCAGAGGCCCTGAGAGGATCCAGGGCATCCTAACCCTCCCCACTGCCTTCCATTTAGGAGGTGGGGGTGGGGCAGTGGAACCAAGGGCTTACAGAGAGGAAGGGGTAGAAGGAGAAAGAAAGAATGGGAGGGGCCGGTAGGAGGCAGGAACCATGCAAAGCCCACCGATTTGTGTGGTCTAGATACGGCTCACAGCTGCTCCATAGGAAAGTTCTGTGGAACCACTGCTCTCTGTATTGCGTATACACACATAACCCTAATCCCAGGCCATGCCTGAGGCCCTGGACCTCAGCCTGTAATTCACTGGTGTTCACCTTTACAAGGTTCAAGAGAAGAAAGCCTCCCACTAGACTCTGTAAATTGCAGAATTTAGAACCATCAGACTCTTTGAGCTTGGGATCAGGTACAGGAAAGGCCTAGGAAAGGCCCAAATTACTATAAGAAATGAAAGAGGCAAATATGGCTTGATGATTAAGAATACAGAATCTGGGGGTGCCCACGTGGCTCAGTGGTTAGGTGGCCAACTTTGGCTCAGGTCATGATCTCACAGTTTGTGGGGTCGAGCCCCACGTCGGGTTCTGTGCTGACAGCTCGGAGTCTGGAGCCTTCGGATTCTGTGTCTCCCTCTCTCTCTGCCCCTCCTTTGCTCATTTTCTGTCTCTCTCAAAGATAAACATTTTTTAAAAAATGCAGAATCTGGCTAAGCCAGCCACGGAATTGGTTCCCGGTTCTGCCACTTACTACTTATGTGACCTTGAGTGGCTTATGTAGTAAGTTCTTGGGCAACTTCTCTGGGTTAGTCTTCTTATCCGAAATGGATAAACATGGCTACCTTACTGGGTTCTTTCGAAGGTTAAAAGGGGTGGTGTGCATAAAAATGCCTAGGGTATGGGGGTGCCTGGATGGCTCAGTTGATTAAGCATCTGACTCCTGGTTTTGGCTCACATCACGATCTCATGGTTCATGAGATCGAACAGCCTGCTTGGGATCCTCTCTCTCCCACTCTCTGCCCCTCCCCCACTCACGCTGTCTTCCTCGCTCTCAAAATAAATAAATGAACTTAAAAAAATGCTTAGTGTATAATCTAGTATACAGTAGATGTTTTATCAGTGCTGGTCCCCTTTCTTCCCGGTTTTCTTGAGATTCCAGGGTTGCCTAGCACTTTTAGGAAGAACTCAAGAACTGGCCTTTCTTTTGAAGGGTCCTTAGAATCTAGGGGGCTGGCTTAGATCTGGGGAGAGGCTACATTTTGGCTTGGGTGGGAATGGGGTTCTCAGGAAGTAGAGTTTGTAGTTTGAATGGGAAGGGTGAAGTGGTGATTTGGGGTCCTTGCCCTAGTCCAAGCTGCTGTCAACTCATTATAAGATCTCCAGCCTTTACCCTTTGAGCCTAGTTTGTTTCTCTGTAAGAACAGGCTGGACTAACCTCTGAAGAAAGCAATGCCAGCCGGTGAGAAACATCTGGAATCACAGGGCAGTGAGGCCTCGGTAGGGGGCTGCCTTCCTCAGCTTAGCAGTGACTGTCAGAAGGCAGAGATTAACCAACCATTTGTCCTTAAAACCTCAAAAAGGTAAATAAAGGACTTTAGCTCAGATTCTGCCTTGCTCACTATCATGACATTGGACTTGTGCTTTCCTCTGTCTTCAATACCTCCCCCGACTTTGTGTGTAGGGTGAACTACTCATGCTTCAAGACTCGTGTGCCATTTTCTCCGAGGGACAGGATCTCTGGCCCATCCTCCCGGCAGTGAGCTGGCCATGTGTGCCCATACCTACCTTGGACTTACTCTATAATAGAATTTATGACATTGAACGGATTTGCTTATATATCTGGCTCCCTCCTTTTGACTGCACACTCGCTTAGGTAAGGATGTGCATTTTGACCATCTTGGTTAATCCAGTAACCAGCATACATAGGTTCTCAAGAAAGAAAAAATGCAGGTGAGATTGGACGGTAAAGTGGTCTGGATGAGGACAAAGGGTCACTGGTTACCTCAGGGGTGTGACCACGGTGATTCTCTTTTTAATGCAAAGCCACGTGGTCTCTCACCATATGTATTTCCATGGTCTAACAGCTTGGTCTGATTCCCTAGACTGGTAAGTCTAGGCTCTCTGCAGCTTTTCTTTTCTTTTTTTTTAAATTAAAAAAAATTTTTTTTCATGTTTATTTATTTATTAAATTTTTTAATAAATCTTTATTTATTTTTGAGAGAGAAAGAGACAGAGTGCAAGCAGGGGAGGGGCAGAGAGAGAGGGAGACACAGAATCCGAAGGAGGCTCCAGGCTCTGAGCCGTCAGCACAGAACCCGACATGGGGCTCGAACCCACAACCACAAGATCATGTTCTGAGCCGAAGTCTAACACTCAACCGACTGAGCCCCCCAGGTGCCCCTCTCTGCAGCTTTTCTAAAGAAAGACTGCCTACGGTAGGCAAGGCTGGGAGAATGTTAGCAGGCAGGGAGAGAGGTCTAGCCTCAGGGAATGCTGAGTCATCCCCCAAACCCCCACAGATTCTGCCTCACAAGTAATCTGGTTTTTGTTGTTGTTTTTTTTTTAATCTTCTAGATTTTTTTTTTTTTCTCAAGTGTCGCCCTCATTGGCAAGCCTTTTGGGATCCCCTCCCCAGAGCTTGATAGCTCCCCTGTGCTCCCGCGTATCCAGAGCTCACGGATATGACGGCGCTTACCACACTGTACTTCACAGCACTTGTCTACCACCCAGACAGCGCCCTCCCTGGAGGGCAGGGCCTGAGTCTCATTTATCTCTGCACGTCCAGAACTGGCAACGTAACTGGCAGAGATTAGTCAACAAATGTCTGTTGAATGATGAGAAAATCAACTTCCCACACTTCCTCATCTCCCCGAGTGGTTCTTACGTGCATCTGGCTGGCCCCTGTCCTTTTTGCTGACACTTAGAGAAGTTCAAAGTAGTCCGGCTGCCAACCTCCGCTCTCTCACAGCTGAGGGCTATGATTGTGTGCTCCGAGATTCACCACCTTCAAGCCCATCGCGAAGGACTCATTCATTCCAAATGATGTGGCTTCCTTCTCTCAAGCTAGAAGGAGGCCTGGTACAGAACCAGGAACCGGTGAACTTCTCAAGATTGGAAGAGGCAAGAGAGACATGGGGCTGGTATCTTAGCACGTCCATGGGAAAAAGGAACGTTTGGAAGTTTTCCCCTACCCCATAGTGCTCCTGAGTTTTCAGGGATAGGATCCTTGTTCCTGGAGCCCTTACCTGGTGCGACGAGGGGGTGGGTAGCCACAGCGGGCACCATCCGACTGAGCCCAGCCCGGCCCTCCATGCTCCCTGGCACACCGTTGTTACCATCTCCTTTCTTGAGTGGCTCCATCACACTGTCACTTATGCCAGGCTTGGCACCTGCGGGGGAACCCTGAGCGGTGTTTCTGCCTTGTGACGGGGTAGGCAGAGGCTGGCTACCACCTGGCGTGGGTTTCAGGGCCAAGCTGGGCAGGACAGGCTGAGTGGGGGTAGGGCCCGAGGCTGCTGCAGCTGGTGTCTGCTGTGTTCGGAGGGTCAAGTTCTGTACCTGGAAAAGAGGGGTCTATAGGAGTCCAGAGAAGGTGGGTAGGAGCAACGGCAATACACAGTTAAGATAGGGAAGGAGTTAGGGATGGACCTAGGAATGGCTATACAGGATAGTGGGTTGTAAAATCGGAGAGAAAGAGAGAAAATGAGTTAGGGGCTGAAAAAGGAACCAGGAGCAGGTAGAGTTTCTAAAGGGGACAAGAAAGAGTGCTAGTGATTGCATCCACCGGCAGAAGAAATTGAATTCTGAGAAGGGATGACTGTCTAGGCTGGGGTGGGCTCTCTCTCCCTTGTTACCTCCTCTCCTCCCCCAAACTATCAGGATGGGATGCATTGCATTTAGAAAGAATTCCCAGCTACAGCGGGGCATGGGGCTTCCCATACTCAAAAAGGCCAGGGCAGAAGTGAAAGTCAATTGACCAGCACAGCCACCAGGCAAAGGATTATCTTGTCCTCAGAATAAATAAGGTTTAGGCCAGGATTCGTGCGCTTACTCAACCTGGCCCCTGGTGCCCTCTGCTGGACGCACGGAGGCTGTGCTAGACTTGCTCTGACAAATCTGATGATCTCGGCTACCAAGCGCTCTCCAATTCTGTAGCTGGGGTGGGGGTGGGGGGTTCTGCCCCACTGCCCATAGAATCTTTACAGCCACAGCAGTATCTGTGTGCTCCCAGCAGAAGGTGGGGACCCAGGACTTATCTTTGCTCCCTCTTCCATGCCATCTTCCCCCAAACTAGAGGTGCTAGCGTGTATAACCAGAGTGGGATTTTCCACTTGAAAAGCAACGCAGAAGATATACTGGGGAGGGTGTAAGGTAAAAAGCTAGCAATGACCACCCATTACTGGCAGCCATGTTTGCCTCAGTATGCTGTGCTCTGATTCCTGATCTATGTTTGTGAGGGAATAGAACAGAGTCAAGGGTGGCTGAGGCCTTCTCAACAGGGAATTCATCAAGGAGTAGAGTAAGTCTGGGAGCATCGGGATGTCCTGTCTCCCCCCGGCTTTCCTAGAAGATCCCAACCTTTCCAGAGTCCAAGCTCCTCCAGGCCTTGTGCCCATACCCAGTCTCAGTACCCCTCTACGGAGGTGCCCACCCCCCTGCCCTCCCACCAGCATGGAATCCTCACCTGGGCGGGGGTGGGGGGCCGGGCGGGGGAGCCAGTGCCGAGCTCAGGCTGCACAGTAGCGACGGTGGCCGTGGGCGTGAAGATGAGCTGAGGGGACAAAGGAACAGTGCCGCCTAGGCTCCTAGCTACCTGCACCAGGTTACCTGGCTGGGCCTGGAATCACAGGAAACGAGGCGCCTTTTACCTGCCCAATGTGGGCTCAGCCACAGGACAGGACGGTTCAGCCAGGGAGCAGATATGGGGAAACAGGGAGGCAGGAGAGGGAAAGAGTCCAAAGGGGGGCCACCTGAAAGTCTCAAGAGGCTTGTAGAGTCCTGATCCAAGCTGGGCAGTGAAGGGGAGGGTGGAGGAGAGCCAGTCTGGGGATGCAGGTCGGGTTTACTCCAGAAGCCTCTGGAGTGGCTCATGAGGAGCTCATCCTAGAGGGGCCGACATTCCCGGGACACCCTGAAGTCATGCTCTCCACAGCATCCTGGGGAGCAGGGACCTAGGACCTAGGACCTCTTTCCAGGTCTAACCCACTCCTGACTCCATGTCTGGGCCAGAACAGGACTCCCCTGCACGAGGGATCAAATTAGATGTGTTCTTTTCTCAGTCTGTAGCCAAATTTAGATTCTGGTAGGGGGTGTGCAGGGATAACAGTGGTAGAGGAACCAGGGCGCCCAGAGCCATACTCATGTCTGCCTCTCCTTCCGTACAGGCTACGTGGTGCTCTCTGCATGACACTTCCACCCCGCGAGCCTAGCTTGGTGCCCATGTGGACGTGCTGGTGTCCCACAGGCTGCTTTCCCCAGACCTCCGAGAGGCATGTCGATGTCTACTCCTCTGTGCCTGCGTGCCCTGCTTTGGGGACGGAGGCAGACGGGCTTCAGGACTCCAGCTGGGGCAGGTGAGGAGGACAAGGGAATGAGTAAACTGAAGACAAGGGCAGGTTTGGGCAGTGTCACACTGCGGCCGTCCCGTTCCCTAGGAAGTAGAAGGTTGTTCCGTATACTGTGTGTCTATGAAGCTATTCCCTGGGAATGGAACGTCCACAAACAATGAACTCAGAGTCAAGAAAGGAAGTGCTGGGTCAGGACCCGAAAAGCTCCAAGCGTCAAGTTCTGGTCACAGAAGCAAACTGGTAGTGGTGGTGGAGGTGGGGTGGGGGGGGGCACAGGTAGGACTGTATTGTCTTCAGGAGGGCATGTCAAGGAGCTGAAGGGAGAAATCTTCAGGATGGGAGACACGAGATCAGAGTTTGTGATCTGAGCTCAACACAGAGCTGGAAGTTATCGCCTCCTGGGGAGCATGCTGCTGTTTTCCCTGGAAATTCTTCTAAATGTTAGGAACCCATAAGGTTCCTAAGGACCTTTGCATCCCTTAGGGACAGGTATAAAGGACAGATTCTAGGTATGCACGTCCAGGGCTGATACCGTCCTGAGCACATTCTACACATTCAAACAAGCTGAATTAATGAGTGATAGAGTGACCTGATGGGCATGGGGTCCCAGGTGGGAGAGCAGTGGAGGCAGCAGCATGTCCTGGAGCTGAATGCCACTTTCATGACTTGGGCTGGAATACACCTTTGGCTCTTGAGCTAGTGGTGGCCAGTCCCTACAAGGATGGCCACAGGGGCCAAGACCCCATTTCTGTACAGTACCTGGATGTCTGTGCGTTTGCTTATCTTAAGTGACCAAGTGTACTGGCCATCTGGGCATGAGCCCCTGCATTTTCTACCCTAATTAATTTGGGGGAGCAGTTTCTGAGAAGAAGAAGACAATTAGGGAAGGAAAGGAGGCATCATGGGCAACCTTCTCTATTTCAGCCGGGAACCCCACCTGTCCTTGGGTCACTGAGCCTGTACCAAAGCTCCCACTCAGCCTTCCAGGCGCCCTCTTATTTATTCCACCCCTTACCTCTTGCTGCCTGTCCCTTGGTGCTCCTTCCCACCCACCTCTCTAGCCTCCTAGTTCCCAACTTGTCTGCCTTTGTCCTTCCAGCCCACCTGAGCCGTGGCCCAGGCTGGGTACTCACCATCTGTGCCCTTAGATACATCTGCGCTTGGCTTGCAGTCAGGGCCGGAGAAGATGTGTTACCCAAGAGCACGGCCTGCTGGGCGATGCCTGAAGCTGTCGCTGAATTGACACTCTGTGCCCGGTTGATGAGCTGGGCCGCTGCTGGGGAGGCTGCCAGATTGATCTGATGGGAGAGACACACACAGTGGGAAACAGGAAGTTCTGTTGGTAACCTCTGTGCCTCCCTTATCCATTTCTTTCCCCCTCTTCTGTTCCTTGGTGGATTCGGCCTTCTCTAGGACCATCTCTGGTCCCTGGGCCCCTCAGCACTGCACCATCTCTGGCCTACATGTGGAGCTGCAGGGAGGGTCCAATGGGGGAGAGACTGAACTGTAAACACAGAGCCTGGACACCGGCATGAAAGAGGACAGAGACTTACTGAAGGGTTAGAAAGAGGCAAATGCTTCTTTTTCTGGCAAGAGTAATAGATTCCAGCCATGACTGCACACGGCTAGGGATTCACCACCTGGGGCTGGGAGCCTGCAAGCATCTGGGGCAAGGAGGAAGGAGCTGGTCCCAGAGCTGTGGGCTCTACCTGCGGCTCCCCAACCTACTCACCGAGGATGACTGGGCTGGGGCCTGTGCAGACACATTGCTGCCTGAAGTGCTCCCTTGTCTGTTGGCCACCAGGCTTGCCTAGAAAAGAACAGTTTGTATCGCTAGAGTCCCAGATCTCCCCCAATCAGTCCCCGAGCTCTCAAAGGAAGGACTTTAGGAAGTACTATAGGACAGCGGTCAGTTGTCAAACACCTAGGGTCAAACCCCCATTCTACCTCATCTGCGTGTGACCTTAAGCACGGGCCTCAGTTTCCTCTTTATAAAGTGGGGATAATAACAGAATCTACCTTGTGGCATTGCGGAAAGGATTAAACGAGGCAAAGCATTTAACATAAGCACTCAAATCGTTAGCTATCACTGTTACCCATCTTCCTAGGTCTCTGAAGCCCTCTGCTCCACCCGGCTCTATCAGATCGGGCTCCCGGACTCCGCCAGAGAGTCGTGCACGTGCTGACTGGCACATCCAACCTGCCCCCCTCCCTGTGGCTGGCTTCTCACTCTTTCAGGGTCAGCTTCCCATCACCCAGCAGACGGGCCCTTCCCTGGCCACCCAATCCAGGGCACCTCCTTGTTCTTCAGTCAGAGTGAGCTGCTCCTCTTTCGGAGTGCTTATCACAACTCGGAGACTTAGGTATTCTGTTTCCTGGTCTCTCTGGGGTTCTGTTTACTTGCTGTCACCCTGCTTTAAGCTCTGAGAAGACGGGGTGCACAGTATTCGGTGTCTGACATGGACTGTGGTAGGTGCATAAAACTTTTGTTGAATGAATGAAGGAATGAATGAATGAGTTCCTCTCAGCCACCAAGGACAGACAGGAAGCTGGGTGGGCCACGGCCTTCTCTTGTGGACACCCCCGTGGACCCTCGCCCCTCCCGGTGGTGTGGTGGTGTGGGGAGGAGGGGTCCCCCCAGCCCTTCTTCCTGCGGCCAGAGAGTTCTACCCCTGCAATCACGGGCCCGAGTGAACTTGGGGAAGGTGCCGGACCCTCTGTTGGGTAAAGGACCATGACCATCCTGCCCCCTCGCCAGGGGAAGAGAAGGCCCGGGGAAGCGCGCACGGCACCTGCTCCCCCTCCCTCTCGCTTCTGCCACCCGCCAGGCCCTCTCTGACCTGCTGCACAGCCGCCAGGCTCTGGAGCTGGGCGCTGCTGAGGTGCTGCTGCTGGAGTGCTGCCGTCTGCAGCATGAGGTGCTGCTGCTGGGCTGCGTACATCTGCTGCAGGTACTGAGCCGCCGTGCTGGGCTGCCTGTGCAGCGCCTGCTGGATCACCTGGGAGGGGAGAGCCGCGGGACGCTGTCAACCTGCTCGCTGCGGACCCGCCCCTTCCATGACGAGGCCTTGTCAGAGGACAACCCTGGGGCCTAGCCCCTCGCCCTAGGGAGGTGGGAAGGCAACTGCCTTTTGGACTTTACACTCCTCTGCTTCGTCTGTCTGTCATGCACATCTTGGGCTCCTGTGCTCCTCTCCAATCCACCTGCTCCTGTGTCAGCCCCCTTGGGGAAAGTCAGAGCAGCACAATGATGCTCTGACCAGCTCTGGGCGGGGGGGGGGGGGGGGGGGGGGAGTGTGGCACAGGGAGATAGGGGGTCCTGTAAGCCTCCGGTGACACTGTGTCCCGTGCCCAGCTTGTTCGGCAGCCCCCCTTCCAGTCATTCCCCACCCTCAGATCTGGGTGACTGGGACACTGGATGGTGACAGCAGGGGAACCGAAGCCCAATAAAGCAGAGAGAAGGGAAGTGGGTAGGGGAGAGAGAGGCAGGTCCGAAGGGGGGCCTATTCCAGCATTAGCAACACGGCTAGCCAAATGAAAACAAGGGCAACAGCCTCCCGGCTGGGGCTGCCTCCCAGGGTCTGCCCCTAGCTGCCTGGAAAGTCCTATCCGTCCCTCAGAAGGTCCCCTTGGTCTTGGAGAGCAGACCAGAGCCACAGGGATGACGCATTTCTCTTGTATTCTTTCCCCCTCCCCGTCGGTCCCTCTTTCTGACCACCATCACCATCACCTGGCTTTACTGCTGCTCCTCTTTCCTGCCACCGTCTCTAGGAAATGACAAAGGCTGCCTTTGATCCCGCTCCCTGCTCTTCACTCCCAGCCCCCCAAAGCCTCCCCTCGCCCCCAGGAACAGAGAAAAGGGAATGCCTTTCCTCCAGCCCTGAGATCTTCTGTCTTCTTCTCCTAAGCCCCAGGGACATTTCTCCTCCTTCCTCCTTACCTGGTCACCCTCCTGCCATCTCTTGCTGCCTGATGCTCCACAAGGGTCCTGGCCAGGCTTCGGCCCTCTTGCTACCCTTAACTCTGCTAACTCCCTGGCCATGGGGCTTCCCCCAACCCTGGCTCCTGCCCCCAACTGGCAAGCATCCAGTCTGGCTCCTTCTGGCTCAGCGTGGATTTTAGGGTCGGTGGCTCTAGGACAAAGCCATTCGTGGGCTCAGATTTGGGGTACTGTAAAACCAGGCTGATAATCGCAGATTCTTCATGGGCTCTGGGGTCTCCTGATTTCCCCCACCCCATCTCAACTCTTCAGGTCCCACTCCCCTTCAGCATTCTCTCCCCTCAGTTCTGTTTATTCCTTGTCCTCTCCCAGAATTCCTTCCTCTTCTCCCTTTCACCTATGCCTCTCTATTTTCCTTGGACTCCTGATCTCCTGGACCCCCCGCAGTCCAGGCAGCAGCAGCAGCGGAGAGATACTGTGGCTCTTCCTCACCAGAGGGTTGGTGTCAGGGAGTGGAAACAGCAGGGACCCTGAAAGGTTCGGCTTGGGTACGCAACACGACCGCGGGTGATTCCATCTGCCGGAGCAGAAACCCCACATTCCTTGTACCCATCCCGGGGATGGGATGCGGGCTGGGAGGATGGCACGTCCCGACGTGGGATGCTGGGAACTGTTCTCAAACACTCGTGATCGGAGGGGCCGGGAGGAGGCTAGTGTGGGGGGCGGCAAGAATGGGTGCGGGAAACGTGCTTTTATTCCGTGGGAGGCAGAGGTAACTGGGAGAGGAAAGATTCCAGAGTCTCTGATGGTGTCTTCAGACGCTCTCACAGTCTGCTGCGGCCCCTCCTCCACTCTCTAATCTGCGCCCAGGGCCAAGGCAGGATGAGGTCACTGGTCTGGTACATCCATGCTGGATGAGCAAAGTTACTTGGAGTCAACACTTCTCAGCTGCACACGCTCTTTTCCGTCTGTCTTATCTGGGAACCTCAAACACTGTGCTGTTTTTCGTCTTGACCCGGATGAGTTACTGCCTTCTCTGAGCCTCAGTCTTCTCAACCATGGAAGTGCGCTTGATAACCATTTTCAGCTGGAGGAGAAGATAGGCCTGCCGTGATCCTCGCAGCGCGGGTACCAAAGCCGATGGCGATGCGTGGGCACGACTGCGTTTGGAGCCATGTGTCATCACCCGGGAGGCCTTGTGGCACACATCACCCGGGAGACACTTTGCAAACCGCTGCTTTAGGGAGATTGCCTTGGGGTTCCTTTTTGTCCTCGCAGACACTTAAGTTTTGTTACGGGGCAATGGTCCTTCAGATAGTGGGTCGAGGTTGTGGCTGAGCAGCTCCCAATCATTTCTCCTGCTTGTTATTTTTACTTGTCCCCACCCCCACACCCCTTTTACACTTTCACCTGCCTATCATCCCAAATAGCACTCTGGGATCTGAATCACCAGGTGAGACAGGGATTTTCCAGGTCTGCGAAGTTCTCCCACTCTCCCCAAAGCTCCTTGATGGGACCCATCTCACGTCACATCTCCTCCAACTGTGCCTCAACATATATCCCTGAACACACTCCCCGATGCCCACTCTACCTCCCATGCCCATTTATTCCCCAGACCATGCCAACACGTCCTCCCAGCTAACCCCAACATGATCGAGGAATACAATCTCTAGATCAGCCGGAATCTTACCTGCACGGTCTGCCGGTCAGGAATGCCGCTGTACACAGAAATCTGGGGCCCGGCAGGGCGGCCACTCCCACCACTGCTGCCACTGCTGCAGCCGCTGCTGGCACTGCTGGCGACACTGGCACTGCTGGACGTATGGGGGACTGGCAGCTCATTCTCCATGGCCTGCGGGCTGGCACGGTCAGCGAGCTCCGAGGGCAGAAGAGCAGGCGGATGCTGGGAGCAAAGAGGCAGAAGTGAAATGTCAACCAGATGCTTCCTATAGGTCACACACATACTCATCGGCTTTCCATCAGCCCAGGGTGATGAGGCCTGAGACACGCCTGCCCGCGGAAGCACACGGCCAGGTGTGGTTCACCAGGTGAGATTTGAAATCGGATCTGCCTGATTCTGAAGTGTATGACCTGGCACTCCCTCCTTCTGCTGGAGGGGCTGAAACCTGCACAGAGGTAGATTTCCTACAATGGCCTTCCTGGCGGTCATCTTAGGGGTCATCTCTCACCCCATCCCCCCCCCCCCCCCCATCTACCTCTTCACCTTTAGGATGGAGAAACTGAGCAGCACAGCACTTATTATTTGTCTGTATGTGTATAGCCGATCAGTGGAAGAAATGGGATTAAAGGTCTGGAGAGAACAGAGGGAGAAAGAGACAGATCAGGAGGCAATAAAATAAGCTGAAGTATTTATTTGGTTTTGTCTTTCAAGGCCAGAAGAGCTGCCAGTGTGTTTGGAGTCTCTGTTTTCTTGATGAAGTATTTAGTGAGTGCTCTCTGATCTAATGCTGAGCATGGCACTACATTAGGCAGTGTGATTAAAACTGCAGGCCTTGGGACCGGAAAGACTTGGGTTTGAGTCCTGGCTCTGCCGCTTACTCGAAGGGAAACGCTGGCAAATCACACTTCTCCAACCTTCTGTCTCAATCTGTCAGATGTAAGAATACACGAATTGGTTAGGAGGACAAAGTAAAATAATGACACAAAGTGCTTAGTAGAGTGTCAGGCAAATACTCCATGCTCCACAACATTGGCTGTTGTTGTGGTTATTAAAACTGTCCCCAGTCCGCTTCCAACAGAGCAATCCCCTTCCAAGGTGGAACTGGCACAGCCTCCTGGAACCTTCTATCCCAGTCACTAAAGAGTGCCAGAAATTCCCTCAGGGACCACCCTGTGATCTGGATTCAGAATGGGAAATCTACACATCCCCTTGAAGCATGTGTTGGGGGATGGGGGCCTCGGAGGGAAGGAGGGGTGGTGGGGAAGGCAGACCCAGATCTGCGGTCGAGTTCCCCTCTTTCTTCTTTCATGCTATTCCTAAAATTCTCATTTCTATATATGAACTTTTCCTTCTGCCTATTCTTTCCTGTATCTAAAAACAACACTCATCATCCCATCACAAACACTGAATTCTCTGCTTGCAGCGTATGCCAGTTTCATAAATGGAAGAAATAATATGATTTTTCACACTAACAAGAGCATTGATTAGTACAAAAAACTAAAATTGTCATTAATGTCCTGTTGTCTTCTTCCCAGGGCCGCTCAGTTTGGAGGCTGTCAACTTCTGACTGGGTGGGTTTCATAGTGAGCTGAACAAAGTGGGGGTGAAGGCTAAAAGGCAGGGATGTGGGGGTAAGGAAATCCAGGCCACTCCCAGTTGGCAGTCAGCAAGTTGAAGTTCGGAGGCCTGTGGCTTCCAAGGCAGGATAGCAACCTGCAAACAGCACTCAGGACCTGGGTCCTTGAGCGGTGATTTTTCCCTAATGTTTGTATGTCTTTTCTTTTCTTTTCTTTTTTAAAGTTTATTTATTTATTAGAGAAACAGAGACAGCGTGAATGGGGTAGGAGCAGAGAGAGAGGGAGAAAGATAATCCCAAGCAGGCTCCACATTGTCAGTATAGAGCCCGACACGGGGCTCAAACTCACAAAACTGTGAGATCATGACCTGAGCCGAAACCAAGAGTTGGATGCTTAACTGACTAAGCCACCCCGGTGCCCCTGCATGTCTGTATTTAGTGCCACAGGGCAGGGCCCTTGTCCATGAGTTCCCTTTGTCCAGAGCTACACTCAGTTCTGGGCCTCATTATGGCCATCACTTATCAAGGATTCTTATAATGAAAACAACAATGCGGGAATCACTGAAACCGCAGAGTCAACAAGTATTTCCAGTGCTCTGCTCAGCTACCCACCCCCCCCCCCCATATCTTATGTTCTAAGGAGGGACATAGGCTGCATAGATAGGAGTAGAAGGCATAATTCTGATCTTGCAGAAACTGACAAACTAGTTGTAGAGATGAGGCTCACTTGAAATTTCAAGGATCACCACCCACAAATCAGAGTTCTGTTCAAACATGGAAGATCCCATAGAATCCCAAAGTCTTCTTTTAGTTAGATGCCTCACCTCCCTTTCCCAAAGCATTGACCAGAATTGGGTTTCAGTTCCTACTTTCATTCCGCTCTAGGAGGTCTCAGTGGAAGTACTCATAACCATAAAACAAACTGAGAAGATGGCAGCAGCCACAGCAAATTAAGGATAGGGTAATCTACACATCCCAAATGATCAAGCCTCAGCTCTATTTCGTCTTCCTTTTGCAGCAGCTAGGGCAGATCTCATGCACAGAGTGTACTCGATCCTTGTTGAGAAATAAAACAGGACAAAATTCTAAAGACCCTCCTGTATGGAAACACTGCACAGGCGAGAACAGCAACTGCTCCCCATGCTGGGGAGGGAGACTTAGCAACATGGGGACACAGACACAACGCGCTTCCTGAACTCTCTTGTTTGCCTGTCTCCTTCCTTCTGCTGCTAAACAAGCCTTTCCCTTCTCTCTTCATTCTTGCATTCTTGGCTTCTGCCCCCATCGCCTCCACCTGGCCTTTTCTGTCTCATTAATCTTTGTCCCCAACCCCTGGCTTTTCGGTTTTCCCATTCTTGTTCCTGCTCCCCTATCCCTATCCTCTGTCATATCTGTGCTTCCTGGTGCTGGCCCCATCCTCCTCCCTGGGGAGGATCACACTCACCTGGATTGTGCTTTGGCTCTTGACTCTTTCTCTCTGAAAATCTGGAACGTGTGCATGCGTCTCCCCCTCCCCCTCCTCTCTCACTTACCCAGGTCCCATCGATCCTGAGTGGTTGCTCTGCTTTACTGTAATGAGCTCTCTCTCCCTGTTCCTGACCTCTGCTCTCTCCCAACAGTGTCCTGACCCTACTCACCTGTCCTGCCCATGACTGCCCTCACTCTGCTGCTGCCTGTCTTGCCTCCAGTGCTCTAGTTCTCTCTCTTCTTTCTCATGGTCTTCCCGTCTGAGGATCTACAGCCTCCCCTCCCCCACCCCACCCCGTCCTGATCCAGCAAATTCTCTTGCCTTCATTCAAGGCGTGCTCTAGATAGTGCGTGTACCCGCCCTCTCCCTCCATCTCTCTGGCTGGCACTCCCTGTTCTAGCTCAGGCTTTTGATAACTACTGCTATCTCTCAAGTGTATGCTCCCTCTTTGGCTCTCTCTCACTCACTCACGCAAAGCAGAGGGAAGGACAGACTGCCTAGGAGATGAGGGAACACTTAAAAGGAGAAGTGACAGTTGAGCTGCCAGAACCCACACTTTCTCGCTTTCACAGCATAAAGCTGCCCTATCCCCCCTTCTACTCAGTCACTTCTAGAACCTTCTGCGATCAACAAATTCCTAATTCCCCCCAAATCTGAACATTTACTGAACATCTACCACATTCAGGGTGCTCTTGCTAAGGACTGGGGATAGAAAAGAGGTAGAAGATGTGGATCCTCACTTTAAGGTTTTCACTTTTGTAGGCATATCAGAAATGGTGAACCCTAAGGCCTTTTGCCCCAGAAACAAAAAAAATGCACAAACACAAAAATGTGCTTACAATTGCAGAGGTTAACGAATCTTTTGAAGCCTGTCCACTAACTCTGGACTAGGCAGCTCTGCTAGGTAGAGCTATGGCAGGAGATACATATTCAAAGATAAAAATATTATTAGCTACCGTATGCCGAGTTCCAAATGAGTGATGGGGACAACATTTGCTAGCGCTCAGAAGAGTGAGGCCCAAGGTATGTGTGCAGTGGGATAGATGGACAGCGGAGGAGGGTTTACTTCAGGCTTTATGAAGCTCAGACCTACGCTGCTGCTGGATAAACAGTCATGACTGTGAGATGGACAGTGCCCAGCCCATCCCTCTGGACTTTCTCCAGTGGCTCGGTTTTCCTAGGAGAGGCAATGTACTAAAGGAGACAGAGCATGGAATTAGAAGTTGGTTACTGCCAGCTTTGGGAACCTGCCCACTGTTGCCACTGTATGGTGTTGGGCAAGGCAGTCTTTCTCTCTTAGTTTCCTAACCTGCAAAATTGGGCACCCTGGTGGGGTGGTGGTGGTGTATGTGTGTGAGTTAATCTCTCGGCCCCATTTCACTTTCTAACCTTATACAGGCATGCCTCAGAGACATGGTGGGTTTGGTTCCAGGCTACCACAATGCAAAGAATAGCACAATAAAGGGAGTGGGATGAACTTTTTTGTTTTCCCAGTGCACATAAAAGTTATATTTATGCCCTACAGGTGTCTATTAAGTATGCAATAGCAGTACGTCTAAAAACATAATGTATATACCTTACTTAAAAAATACTTTATTGCTGAGCGCCTGGGTGGCTCAGTCAGTTAAAAGTCTGACTTTTGATTTCGGCTCAGGTCATGATCTCATGGTTTATGTCAGCACGGAGCCTGCTTGGGATCTCTTTCTCCCTCTCTCTCTGTCCCTCCTCTGCTCACACTCACTCATGTGTGCTCTTTCTGTGTCTCAAAATAAATAAATAAACTTAAAAAAAACTGAGGGGTGTCTGGGTGGCTTAGTCAGTGAAGCGTCCAACTTCAGCTCAAGTCATGATCTCACAGTTTGTGGATTCAGGCCCTGCATCGGGCTCTCTGCTGTCAATGCTGAGCCTGCTTCGGATCCTCTGTCTCCTTCTCCCTCTGCCCCTTCCTGGCTTGCTCTCGCTCTCAAAAATAAACATAAAAAAATTTTTTTTAAATGTGGGGCGCCTGGGTGGCTCAGTCGGTTAAGCATCCGACTTTGGCTCAGGTCATGATCTCGTGGTTCATGAGTTCGACCCTGAGTCAGGCTCTGCGTTGACAGCTCAGAGCCTGGAGCCTGCTTCAGA